TTCTTGAGCCCATACCATGGGTTTGTTTGAGCATTCATCTCTGCTACTGCTCACCATAAGTGGTCTTTCTCAATATTTCATACTCTGCCAGTTGCACCGTGGATGCATTTCCATTTGTGCGTCCCCCATGGAAGATAAAAGGATTTTCCATTAACATTGTTTCATGCTGAGCCACATGGGAAAAGAGCACATCTACTTTTACACAGAACCTGGAAGATTTCATTTTCAGGAACTGCCTGACACCGGGCAGTAATACTGCCGGCTTTCATCAGTGGGTCATGGTCTCAATAACCATTGTGTTACCTCATTCGGAGATAGATAATGGCTTAACCAAAATGTATTTAAATAGAAATCTCAATTAAATGTATTTTAAAAGCATCAGAATATACTACACCTGTGTTGTGATCACTGATTTAATGGGGAAGTGCGCTTAATGTAGAAGCGGGTGTTTGGAGGGGCTGTGTGGGTCATTCAACAAGTTCATTGTAGATATTTTTACACCTATTCACATATTAAACTGATATTATAATTGCATGATTAAGTCATTCTGTTTAAATACTCACGTTGCTTTAGAGCATGGAAGTCGAAGCATTTTGACCTGACCTGCCACCATCGTTACAGTTATATATTTGAGTTTTGCTTTTTTGGAGCTACTAAAGCTAAGTTCCCAACAGAGCAACTCCACCTTGAGACTAAACACGGTGAGGTCAGAGAGGGGTGGGGGTAGTGAGCCAAGAGGAGGAAGCAGCTAATAAGAGGCCTAATGATCCAACACGATCCTGTCTCCCTAGTATCGCCATTCAACCTCTGCAGCTCATCCAGAATGCAGCAGCTCGACTGGTCTTTAACCCTCTGAAATTATCCCACACTACTCCACTCCTCCGCTCTCTTCACTGGCTACCGGTGGCTGCCCGCATCCAGTTCAAAACATTGGTGCTCACGTACCATGCTGTGAATGGATCGGGTCCAGTCTACATCCAGGACATGATCAAACCCCACACCCCAACCCCACACTGCTTGTTCCTCCTCACTGAGAGCAAAACACTAGACTAGATCTCGACTCTTTACTGTCCTTGCTCCGAAATGGTGGAACGAGCTCTCTGATGACATCAGGACCGCAGAGAGCCTTCACATCTTCTGGCGCAAACTAAAGACAAACCTCTTCTGACTCTACCTTGACTAAAAACACTAAACAAATTTTTGTACTTTAATTGTACTTATAATGGCTTGTATCTATAGCTTGTTGTAAATCTGCTTATTTGATGAAATTTAACTTTCTTGTTCTTTTGAGTCTGTATTGAAAGTCGCTTTGGATGAAAGTGTCAGCTAAATCACATGTAATGTAATGTATTACATTGCAACTTTTATGTCGAGATAGGTCGGTTCTTGGAGAAATCAACCAGTTATCTATGTTTAAAGTTTCAAATCTGCCAGAATCTGTCAAAATGTAACCTATTTTATTCTTGAACCAGTGCTGAAAATACAATAATAACCATATCTTTACATAGTATCCACACTTTAAACCGTAATAATTTAGCTTGATGCCATGCTTGGTGAGTATTAGCGTGGTAATTCATGCCTCAGCATTCTCTTGTGTGCTTCTTTACTTATACTTATACACTGTCATAACCACAAAACACTTTCCCTGCCGCATGCCATTAGCCCATATACTAATTTTTAAAAAGGAAACTACACAATAATAGACTATTAGTGCTCCCTTGAATCCGTACCTCCCTCCAGCACATCTCCCTTACTTAGCATCAAAGTGTTCTTGAACTTTTCATAGTCCTCCCTGCTTGTTTTCCGACATCATATTTAAAAAGGGCCTTGACATTAGAGAATTTATACTATTCATATCAGTGAATGCTTGTTCAGACGGAGTAATGTTGACAGATCTGATTAAATCAGAAAACCATGAAGACTGCTACCTTTACAATGATTTCCAGCTGTGGATGCTCTGACATGATGGCTATGTCACAGAAAATGAGTGCGTTTACAGTCCTACTAATGTCATCATTCTTAACAGATGTCAAATTATGTCAGTTAATGTTTTATGTCTTTTAGCTGTCGTCACTGGCTTGTCTTGTTCAGTAAAAAAACAACCAGATTTGATTTATAATGATATATTGTAGAATATTTTAGCAAATCTTGACATTATTTCATTGATTCATCTGAAAATAATTTTATAGAAGGCAAAGGTAATTTACTTAAGAGAAATTAATCGATTAAAGAACTTGCTTGCTTGAATATCGCTCAATAATATTTTGTGTTGAAACAAAAACCTTTTTTGGCCTTTCATTATCATATCACATAATGGTTACCTGACCATCCTAAAAGGCAATTTCAATGGGACCAAATATGTTGTTATCTAGTGACTTGACGGATGGGGTTCTTAACCTTTTTGACGCTGGGGCTAGGGCTGCGGTGTACTAGTTCGAACGGTATAACATTTCCGTACGGTATGAATCTCGTACTGTTCATACCGGTGTTACGATAACAACTGACGTTGGTCTTCGGCAAGTTTTTTTTTAGGCGTCATCACAGAGCGCCTTGCGGCCGGCGCTACTTGTTTTATGTGTGTTGAGATTGAATCATGGTTATAACTTTATAACAACAATGATTAACCAACAAACACTCTTCAACGGGGTAAAACACCACAACACAGCTTTTGACACATAAACAATTTGTAACACATAATTGTATATTTATAAAAATTACCCCGCCGAACCCGTTGCTGGGTACAGCTCACAACAACAAGTAACTGTTGCTAAATGAAAACACGGAAAAAAGCAAAACAGGAAGAACAAGAGACCAGAAATGCACCAACACAACTTGTGCCCAAGAAAAGAGCGGTGTTTGTTTGGAGAGTTTTTGGTGTTGGAAAATCTGACGTAAGTTAGCTCAGAAAACGATTTATTGCAAAGTCTGTTGAGTCTCTGGTGGCAACACCAGCAGCCACAACAAGCTAACACGCTAACTAGCTAACGAGCTAACTCGCTTAAACGCTAACAAGTTGCTAGCAAGCAGAGGCCAACAGTTGTTTGGATGGCAAACAGCTGTTTGCAGCCACAACAAGCTAACACGCTAACTCGCAAACACGATAACAAGATAACTCGCCAGTTATAAGCTAATTCGCCGGCCAGTTGCGAGCAAGTTGGCCAGCGGGCGGCCCGGTCAATAAATTAATGTGTTTACTTGACAAAGGAATACCGTGATATACCGGGATATCGTCAGAATCTTTCTTAATACCCTGATATCGATTTTTGGCCATACCGTGCAGCCCTACCTGGAGCCCATTACAATATTAACACTGTATTTGTTTCTACTAATTGAGCTCACTCTTGGTTTGCTTTGTATTCAATAACTAAATCCAATCGGCATAGCTTGACAAGCAAAAACCTTCAAATGAAGGACATAATAGAATGTGACATTGATATATAATATCATGTTTGACTGTTTATTTAAGGAGAATAAACCTTCTATTTTGCTTTGGAATCTGGCGGTGACATTACTTTAGCACGGCCCCACCCTAGCTGGCCGTAGGACCCCCCTCCCGGTGATGCTACAATGGCTGATTGCCAAATTTAATTTAATTTACATTTATCAGTCTTTGAAACCGAAATAACATAATGAGAACCATTGTTCTCATCATGTATCTTATCTTCATTATATGAATATCTTCATTTTGAAGGATGTTCTCTCTTTTTTGTGAAGCCATCATTCTTGCACACCCACACACACTCACACACGCGTTGAGTTCCCTGTGTGGTTTTACTAATGCTATCTTGAGATCAAAGCAGCGGGGCTGGCTTTTAAAACTCAAGTGGTCCAATTTTATTCAGAGGCAGAGAGCCTGAGCAGGCTAATCCACACAGTCTGATGAGATTTCAGCCGCAATAATTTATGGAAGGAATAGGTAAAGGAGGCGGCGGGGTGAAAAATGAGAAGAAGAAAAGGAGAAGGAGGAGGAGAGGGAATGAGTTAGGAAAGGGTGACAAGGGAGATGGAGAGAAGAAGGGGAAGTTGGACAAGTGAAATAAATGGGGACAGAAAAGGAGCTCTCTATTTATAACGGGTTGATTTACATTATGCTCATTTTGTAATCCCTCTCAGAATCTTTGTCCTCTTGTCTCCTGGGATCACACTCCATCTCCCCTCTGTCCTTCTCCTCGTGTTTTTGAGTAATCTTTCACATACAGAGGCATGTATATGGGACAAAACACATCCCTGTAATTTATCCTTATTCCTTCTCCTCCTCCGCCAAGACATCCATTTGTCAGCTGCCTCCTCATCTTTAAAACGCATCCGTTTTCTGTTTTTGATGTTGCTTCATTGCAAAAGGAGGCAATTTGCCAAAAAAATTGAAAAAGATTAAATGGGAGTTGATGTCGTGATGACTCAGGGGGTTCAACTATATTTTCACACCATCAGATCTGACTCATGATTTCCTCAGCTTGTCATCTCCCTCTCTGCCATTACTCTCTCTAATGGCTGTAATAAAAATGTTTGAGAGATTGTTTGAAGACATGCAGTGTAATTTATTTTTAAGCTTATGTTTGAATACAGCAATTCTGGGATATTATTTTTATTCTATTTTAAAGCTGGATTAACTTCTCCCTCTGTGCTGACCTGAACATGTTTTTTTCCCCGTTTGCTTTATTAAATGACCATTTGACCAGGTGTCAGTTACTGACTTTTATTTCATAAAGATAATATTTGTGAGCTTTTTTTATAGTCTACCGTTGGATTTGAGAGCTACAGAAATAAAGGAAGTTACAAAAAAAAATAGACCACTATTATTCGCGTTTTATTTCATTGTGCGATAGAAAACCAAGGTTAAAAAGTAAAAAGGTTTTCAAAATTTTACTTTAATGGTTCATGAAACTGCTAGATTCTGCTAGAAGGTAATAAGGCAAAGACATGTCTGATGTTATTGCTCACTGAAGTTGTCGCGGAAATTATTTACATTTGTACAGTAAATCCTTTTTCTTCTTTTTCAGTTATCAGGAATATCTGAGCTGGCAACCGGATGACTCAAAGGTAAGTTAATGACTATATCATTTTATGTAAATATTTCCAAACAAACTATTTGAACTTGTCTGGCTTTGGGTCAGAACAGTTTAACTGTGAAAAATCAGAAGAATCAGAAGAAACACGTGCAGGCTTCTAATACAATCTTTGTCTGCACATACAAGGGGGGAAGTCTGGCTCAAATGGAAAATAAGATGTTGACATGTGGATTGTGTAATTACAGTATATGGCTTGAATGTTGGAGAAATGTTTTGAAAGGGAAATGTCATAAAGTGACAATTACCAAAGCAACAAAGCATAATTGTTCAATGGGCTCAAGTGAGGGAGCATTTTAGGGTCGGGCTCGCCGGGTGCAGATTAGCTGGACAATCAACCAGGCTCGGGCGATTTAAGACACAGGTTTTTACATATGACTGCCGTCAGTCCTACGTCGGTCTGAATAATCGAACGCTTAACACATCCGATTAGAGTGGAAATTATCTGGGGGTGGAATGGCAGTAATGACGCAGCATCCTCTATCAATGGATCCACCGCAGTCTGCTATCTTTAAGATAAAGTGCAGCAATTCATCCGCACGGCTGTGGGATTGAAACAGACCACAGATAAGGAGCGGGGTGTCCTTTGCAAAACAACTCGCCGCAGGTTAAATACTGACTTTTTAAGACAAGTTGATGCAGTGAAATCCCACTTGAGGGGGAGATACTCATTGTGGCAGTTTAGCCAATTACAGCTGTGACTGAGTTTTACAAACAAAACTCACATAACATATGTCGATTTAACAGTGACATTGTGGAACGTATCCAACTGCCTTGATTGATAGCATGCGTTATTTCATTAGTTCAGGTACATTGTTTGTTTTTGCAATAGTTAGTAAGCAGCTGTGCGTGAATAAAATACCGGATATTGGGCCAATACTTACTCAATATAATAGCTGGATTGGGCCACGTCAGGCATCAGGGAACAAATTTCAACATAATTGCGATACCTATTAATTCTGAATTAAGTTGCTGATCCACTACGGCTTCAAGAGAATGAAGCATGAGGTATATCAATCAAACACTGGAATCGAGTTGGTACCAAAAATCAGGTAACTGGACTGAAAGCCTTTGATAGGTGAATGTGGTATGTTTTGCCTAAAGCTACCCTCTTTTGAAGATGGATGTCTACTTTGAAATTTACCCTCTATCCCTCACACGCTCAGAAATCAACCTGGACCGTCGCTGTTCAGAGTGTAAGACCGCTGGCCAAGCCCCGGTATCTGATTAGCAGTGAGAACGTGTTGGGGAGGCTGTTATTAACAGTCTACCCAATAATCTACTGGCACTGCAGGATGCTCGGAGTTAAAATGTATGAAACAGAGCAAGCAGCAGCTCATCAGTGTACCAACTTGGCTCGATGCCGCATCGGGATGATGTTCTTCTTCAGTCACATCTACATTGTAAGTCAGGCATGTCGGACACATCTGTGTCAGCTAAATATGGCGCTGCTGTTGTAATTGTGATTAATGTGATTATTATTAATGAGCTACTGTCCCTTCTGTTTTTAGAAGAGCATGAAGGACTTAATTTGACAAGTACATCTCGCACGCACATGGAGTTTGCATCTTACTTTACCGACATCAACCGCAGTTGTTTTGGCTTGACTCTTAGTTCACATTAAAAGACAATGGAAGAGCTTGTACCATGATTGTAATGATGGATGTTCAGTACCCTGAATTTATGCACCTAAATCACTGCAGTAAAATGATTGCTTTGTATTTCTGACTAGCTTCACTACAGCATGACAAATGCTCAGTTTAGTAGTGGAAAAGGTCGGGTTGTTGCAACGAAGGCACACTATACTCTGTATATAGTTGTACTGAGCTCTGTGGCGTTAAGGGTTTTACAACAATCCAATGCCGAGCCGTGATCCTATGATGGAAGGCAGCTGGGTAGACCAGGCAGGTGTTGAGGAAGAAGTGTAATGAGGGGAATACCCACAAGCACACAGGCGGTACGGCCAGGTTGTGATATCCATTATGCCCTCATTTTGCCTAACTAATGAACAGCATATTTTCTCCTTATAGTCAAATGATTTTGTGCCAGTATATTGACATCAGCAAAAGCGAATATCTCAACATCCCCTATAGTTTCTGTTTCAAAAAGCCTTGCAGCCTCTTTCTGTAGACTGTCAATTATTTTATTTAAAGGATATTGGCGCCCTTCTGAAAAGGTCATCATCTTGCATAGGTCCTTCAACCCTTTTGCTTTCTAAAATATCTATAAATGGCATTCTTTAAGGCCATTATGATTGTTTGGGTATATATGAAAATGAAACAGCAGTAGTGAGGGGATGTTTCCTGCGTGAGAAGCACAGCCACTGGCTGCTCAGGCCCGTTGGTCCACACGACCACATGACTACAGTGGCTCATCAGTCACCGGGCAGTCAAACCTGTTCATGATTCAGCAGCCAGCGAGTTCAAACTCTGCTGCTTGATGAGTGTCAAAACACAACCCCTCTGCTTCTAAATAAAACAGCTGAAGGAAGCAATAGAGCATCTCTTTACTGCCACCACTAAGGTCCTTAAGCTCACCTCCCCCACTCTCTGTGCCGCTAACCCAACTTCAAACACTGTTTATATGAGCAACGGTAAGTAAAGCATCCTCGTCACACGTCGCCTTTGTTTCTTTCCAACCCTGGACTTGACCGTATGTACCCCGTAAGCGCCCACACCGTTCATTTATATGCATGTGCGGGATGTGGTGGGCAGGCGTAGGTGTCCATGTATATGTGCTTAAAGAATGGTCGATATATATACTCACAAATGTGCTTACTATGTGTTTGAGTGTTTTGACGACTATCACTTTCTGCCATGTTATGAGCAGAGTAGCTTCAGCTCAGACAGATGCCAAAGGGTGTGTATTAAAGACACCGCTTGTGAAAGAAAAGGAGCTAAATAGGGTGCTTGAGAAATTGATGAGAACTGAGCCTCATATGAGACAGTGTGGAGGAGACTAAATCGCTCCACTCTCAAATCCGTCCATTTCATCCTGCATTGACAGCAATGCGAAAGATTCATTTCAAAGAATGGCAGGAGCTCTGTCAGGCTCGCTCAACCTGCAATTCATCAAGTTACTTTTTGTAAACAAGGTTGTTACAATGGAGATTTTTTTTTTGTAGTTTATCCTTGTATGTAAAATGCTCCCAGACTACACAGTTCACAGGTAACAATCCTTCTGGTCAACATACAAGCAATGATTGAGAAGCAAGCCTGAAACATGAACATATACATTCATCCAACGGCAGCTGGAGTCCTTGAACATTTGTGCTTATAGATGCGGTCGTGAGGGGAGGGAAACAATTTATTCACAGTTAAGTTGCTTAGTGGGACCAGAGGGAAATACTTAAAGAGGAAACAGATGGATGATATGCTGCTCCATTGCACCGATACGTAAGTACCAAATTGGGCTCTGCTCTTGCCTACGAGTAGTTGATTTATTCATTTAGCACTGTATTACAGTTTGTTTACAAAGGCCTTCATAGAAAGTGAAGAAACTAATCAAACCTCCTGAAATAAAAAACAAAAAAAAGGTTTTCTGAAGTACCACATTTACTCTACAGCCACTTAATGGTTTCCTCTTTTTGAAATTTACACTGACTCATATTATACTAGTTATATTATACTAAAACGTTGGTAAAGCGACTCTTCCAAGTGGACATACAGAAATAGCATTAGATAGCAGACCTGTTCACCTGCAAAGTAAACTGCCAGCTCGAGCATATGGTAGAATACTATAAAGCAGCTCTTTGTTGGGTTGAACTATTCACTTTGGATTTGGCTATGTTAAAGTTCAAATGTAGCTCAGTTGGAATGTAATAGTGGTGAAGGAAATACTTTGCACCTTTAGCCAGTTTTGACATTATGATAAGATTTACTTGATTGTGCACTGTGGGGAATATAAAACATGTGCAATCTCCTTTAAAACAACCAATAAACAAAATATTATACAGTTCCACACCCAAGGTGAGGAAACAGGAGTGCAGACACTTGTGTTTCTGTTTGCTGCACTTGAGTTACCGTTAGGTCATAGCATTCCTAGGAAGGGTCTAACTAACTGTTGACTTTACCTCGATCAAAGCAGCACCAACCGGTTTGCTTTGATCTCATCATCAAACAGGAAAATTCCCTCAAATTTGGTCGCCAGTGGAAGTTAAGGTTATTGGGTTTGATAAACCCTGATATATTTTCACACTGTAACAAACTAAACTATGTTTCGGTTAAGTTATTTCCTCTTTGTCTCTTGTTCCAAATATATAAATACATTATTTATTGTCAAAGAGATTCCTGTTGTCTTTTTTTGTAGATGATAACAGAAAAGTCTCTCCTGAGACATTTTTCCCTGAATGTGCAGCACATAAATAGCTCAGTTCTCAAGATGAATTGCCTCTTTTCTCGTAACTTTAAAGGGAAACTTCAAGCCTTCAATATTCTCCCTTCATACGATGTTTGGTTGAGTTCCAGTAAGACAGTCCCAGCACTGTTCCCTTGAATGGATTCCAGTGGATTTATTTTAAGTCCATAAAGTTTGTTGTGCTGCCGTTTGAAGTTTGTTTTAAACTCATCCCGGTGTGAGTTGGCAGATGCTGTGTGTTCTTCTTGGGGTAAAGGGACTTTTCCACTTTTTCATTTTTAAAGAGCCAAACCTGTCAATAAAGTATGGTTTCCAATCTAGAACAATAAGACAGCTATAAAACACCCTGATTATGGTTTTTTTCACTTATCAGCATATCATATTGACTTTTCTTCAGGCCATTTGGGCCGCTTATTCTTATAAATAAGCGCCCCAAATGGTGGTTTTACTGAACCATGGAATATAATGTGAAACCAATAACAAGCTAACAAATGCTAAAAAGCCTCATACAGGCTGCTGACCAACTGCTGGGTAACGGGAATGCTTTTTTGTCTCCTTCCATCGTTCAGCAGGAGACAGTTTGGCCTCAGCTTATTGTGGCGATTGGAGAAGTAGATT